CTGCAACTTTCCTGTCACGACACGTTCCAATCTAGTTTGCAATGCCATAATTATAGCTCTCTTTTCTTCTAAAAAGAAATAATGTGTACATTACATTATACACATAAGGGAGGCAAGCCTTTCTACACAACTAGATCAGGCAAGCTACAGAAATCAGTTTTGCTCAATAAGAAATTTGGGTTTTTTTTTTTTTAAACTGTAGCAACAGGTGGTGCCTGATCAGTGAGGTCAATCTACCTCTGAAGTCAGTACTCCTCAGGCTGTTATGGTGTTTCAAAAATGCTTCATGTCATTGATCTTAGCTTCTGGCTCTCAGCTAGACATTTCTGGAATTCCCTAGCATCTCTGCTATTCACAATAGGAGGGAGTCTCTTACCATTTCCTGGCACTTGCTTTTTATTTTGTTTATGGGCCTCTAGCTATACCTTGAAGCATTTGTCTCATTTAATTGGGCTCCTTCTTGCTCATCAAATAAATGCCATACCAAAAGTACACTGTTCCCTAAACAAAACAGTTTAGGTCTACAAAGAAAACATGTGTATGCTTAATTCAGTAAGTAAAAAGTGTGCTGCAACATTACTAGTATGCCAAATGATTAAAAAATGAACTATTAAAAAATGAACTATTCTACTAAGACACCATTTTGAAACATGTGTAGAACAGAAGTTTCAAACATGTTTTGTGGAATCCGCACTGTAGCCTGCATTTGCTTTTCCAGGGCCTTTCTTTGTGTGTGTCAGAAGTGAGTTGAGAAACTACAAGTCGCTTCTTATGTGAGAAAGTTGGCCGTCTGCAAGGAGGTTGCCCAGGGGATGCCCAAATGTTTTGATGTTTTACCATCCTTGTGGGAGGCTTCTCTCATGTCCCCGCATGGGGAGCTGCAGCTGACAGAGGGAGCTCATCCGTGTTCTCCCCAGATTTGAACCTACGACCTGTCAGCCTTCAGTCCTGCTGGTACAAGGGTTTAACCCACTATGCCACCGGGGGCTCCTTCCAGGGTCATGATTAGCTGTAAAGTGGTGCACCCATTGTATCTGGCAACTATTGGTTTGAAAAATGGTAACTCCACAGAGGAATAGCCATGTCATTCTCTTGCAAAAAAAAATTAAAACAACTGTGTCACTCTCGTAGCTACTATGGAGTAAGTTTTGAAAATCAGAACCCACTCTTGCTTAAACACAGAATATCATTACGATATGACAGATCTATTTACGGTAGGATGAAGGAAAAAAAGAGAAAACTGTAGTAAAGAAAGAGAAAAACGAAATGCAAGAAACATAGTCCATGCTTTTCTAATTGGTCTTGATGACTGTGCTGCATCCGAACGACAGAAAAGGTCGTTCAAGGTCCTCCTGATGTCACCCACCTATTTCTCCTTGACATCCAAGTCAAGAGACAGCTTTTCAAGTACCAGTCCTGTTTCTGGAGCTGGTAACATGCTGATAAGGACCAACAAACTGAGGTTGAATCCCAAGGAATTAGATGTCTATAGGAGGGTCGAAATTAGTTTAAATTCATGGTTGCATGCCTCTTGAAAAAAGAAGCATGTTACTAAGAGGTATTTCTTGATCCAGCTGTCATTTGCAATTGAGTAGCTGAGAATCTTTTTATCAGCTTTGGGTGGCCTACTGCTTCAACTGTCTCTGGAGGGAAATATACTGTACCAACCACAATAGTACACCCTTTGCTAAATTCAATTGGATTACTGAAACATACATTAAATAAAGCTTCTCTCAAAGATGATCCAGAATGCTTCATCTAGTGCTGAATGCAACAACCAAAACTGAAACTGGTGATTCTGAAAAGAGCTACACTGAGACCCCTTCCACACAGCTGAATAAAATCCCACATTATCTGCTTTGAACTGGAATATTGGCAATGTACACACAGATAACCCAGTTCAAAGCAGATATTGTGGGATTTTCTGCCTTGCCATTCTGGGTTATATGGCTGTGTGGAAGGGCCCTTGGTGTCTTCTTGCTTCTCACCAGTTTAAGACAGTGGTTCTCAACCTGTGTTTTGGTCTACAACTCCCAGAAATCCCAGCCAGTTTACCAGTTGTTAGGATTTCTGAGAGTTGATGGCCAAAACATCTGGGGACCCGCAGGCTGAGAACCATTGGTTTAAGGTAATGATGCTTACCTTTGAAGCCCAAAACAGTTTGGTAGCCATAAAACCACAGGAGCACCTCTCCCAAAGCCTGTGACTTCGGATTTCTGTCAAACTGTCCTCCAACTTCTTCAAGTTATCACACAGTTTTAGTGTTTTATTGGACTATTTTAAGCCTAATAGTATATTGTCCTGGTATTCACTATGATTGATAGATTTAAAATGCTAAAATAAAATAAAATAATACATAATTTGATTAAAGAGCCATTATTAAGACATATTGTACTGATTTCAATGGACTGTATGGTATGACTCATTTAGTATAGATCCAGCTCCTAGTCTATATTTCTTGCATTTTATTCCATGCATATTAAGAAGTCAAGATTGGTAAACTCTTGGTCCTTACAGTGTCACAAAACTCAAAATTGTTATGCTCACTGGAGAACCCTAAGAATTGTATTCAAAAAGGTAACATCCCCAAGTTCTGTTAGCCTCCTAGATGACAGTACTTAATTTTAAATCCTTGTTTCAACATGAATCAATCATATCCCCTTCGCACAGGATTTATGTGACTCTAAGATACCCAAAACTTGATTTTGTGCAGATGTTATCACACAATTATTGACTCAGCAATTCCCTGGGAACATGTCTTTATATATTTGCTAGATAAATTGATTTCTTACATTTCTGACCACTGTCCAAGCCATAAAACAAAACATTTTCCATCCATCTTATCCCATTGCTTTCATTGCTTAGTTACGTTATTGCTAGTTCACAACCCAAAAGGCTTTCATGTGTCTCTCCTGACTTTGAGAAATTATTTCATTTCCTGTGCTGAAGGTTGGGTCAGGAATTGCAGTTTTTCTGACACTGAGTTTCCAGAGAGTATCATGCCAAAGTTGTAAAAAATTGCACTGCAGATAGGGACCAAATGGATGAAGTCTGAGAATGCAGATTAATTCAGTCTTGGCAACAATGCTGTGAAAGGGTGACTAATGAGAGTATCATTAAGGATGGAGAATAAACATGTGGAAATGAAAATCATAACTTATTAGCAAGTTAATTTACCTAGAACAGGTATGCACAACATGTGGCCAGCTCTCATCAGCATAGACAAAGTTGAGGGACCATGGGAGTTGCAGTCCAACAACGTTTGGAGGGTCACACATTCCTAACTTCTAGCCTACAAGAATCTGACGCTAATGGCAACCTGGATCCAATTGTAGTTTTTTATGTTATGTCTTATGTTTTTAATTGATTTTAAGTTCATAGTTACATGTAGTAATTAGTTATTATGATTTCTTTGTGTACTGTATGCTGGCATTGAATTTTTGCCATTAGCATGTTGTAAACTGCCCTGAGTCTCCCCAGGGATGAGAAAGGCAGTATATAAATATAGTAAATAAATAAACAACTTTATAGTTTATAGACACTTGTGTTATGCAAGATTGGCTAGCTGTTTCCCCCAATTCCCACCTACCCCCATGCTGCTGAAAATTAGAACCACCCCTCTCCCCAAATTCAGGTAGATATGGCAAAAAGGTCTAAAATATTTGACGGGTTTCAGAAAATCAGACAAATCTTCCCATCACAAGAAACATTTTCCATTCGCAGAAAGCAAACTTGATCTTAACAGATTGTCTTCTTCCTTGGATCATTTCACACTAGGTAATGAAGATTTAAGTATGTAATTGCAATTTCTCTTTCAATCAACAAGTTTTAACATTCAAAATAAAGTAATTAAAGAACAGAAGAAATTGCCTATGCTGTAAAACAGCAAACTCTAGAATTATATCAGTTGCCTTTTTTCCTTACCAAATGCAAAGAAACCACAGCCAGACATTATAAAAAAGTTAGGTAAATTTTCAAATTCTATATTTTAATCTATTAATATCTATATTCACATCTATTAACACAAATATCCTGCATTAAGAAAGAGAGATACAAATTACAAAGAACTGTGAGAATGTTGGTTCCAAAAGTTTAAATTTTGTATCCCGGACTTTTAAGTAGCACTGCTACAGAAAAGTTTATTTACACAGCTTGATGACTTTTCATAAATACGTAAAGGGCATTGTTATAAATCTTGCACATAAAATAATCTCTCTGCACACACTCTGCTGTGCTGTTTCTCCCAGCTGAAAAGGAAAGTGCTTGCACCGAAAATTTCACAGGGACTTGCAATAAATTATGCGAACAGGGAAGGTCAATATTTAAACTAACACAGAAGTAGAAAACTGCGTTAAGATAACACATTACTGTAAAAGAACCATGCTACCACATACACTTGAAAAGTGAAATAATAGTTTTAAAGTATTTTGGTCAGTGTGCTTTATCTGCTCCATTAACAACAATTGCATAGCTGAAATAAACTTAAAGTGGCTTCTGATATACAGTAAAATTGAGTTGCAATTCAAACGTGTAACTGGTTAAATATTTGCATATGGAAACATGTGCCTACTTTTCAAGTTAGTAGTGTATTTAGAATATATAAAGGCTATTCCCTATTTTCATAGATAATTTAATATACAAATCAGGATTGCTCATTTAGCATGTGCTGCCAATTTTGCAAGCACATCATGCTCACTTTAAACCGATCTACCACACATTTTCCTATCTACAATAACAGTAAAAGCAAAACAACAGCAGCAAAACCAATAATATGGTTAAGAGACATTACTGGCAATAGATAAGACAACCCTGATTGAAGTTTTGTTACACTTTCTTCTCAGCTTCTAAAGCTTCCCCTTCACTTGCAGTGTTCTTTGAAGCAAAAGAATCTAAACAAAACAACAAGCCAAACATACTGTATTCCAAAGAAAGAAAGAAAGAAAGAAAGAAAGAAAGAAAGAAAGAAAGAAAGAAGCAACAGAAGAGTGAACAATACTTACCTTAAAACTTGAAATGCCCCACTTTCAGCTTCACGTTGTGCAAACTGGAGATGAATGCTTTAGCACATTTCTTTTTGAGGGGAAGGAGGAATATCTCTTTGCTTTGGGAGAGGGAAAGAGCACCAATCTAAAAGGTTACCCAAACTGAGTTGAAGGAAGACTCAACTACATACATAATCTTTATTTGGAAGACTTCAAAGCAAAATGCTGTTGGGTAACTGCTCAAAAACGGCAAAGACGACAACAAAAAGCCTGGCTGAGTCTGCTTAGCAGGACTGCAGCCGGGAGCCTGAATGACACGCAGATGCAGATCTCCTCGAATCAGGCTTGTTGGGGGCTGGCATTCCAGCGCTGTTCCCTCTGCCATAGGACAGCCCTATTTCTCCCTCCCTATTTAACTGCAAGAGGGCAAGGGCTCAATGGTAACAACTGTTATGAGGAACATTTGATCTCCATGCAAGGAAGGAAAGGCAGGATGCAACAGTAAATTGTCCTCCTGACTTTTTTTTGGACAAGGAAAACTCCAAGCATTGTTCTGCAGTTCATTACAACTTTTTTAAAAACTAAACAATTTTTAAAAACTAAACTGTTTTAGATCTTTGTATTTGGGGTTTCCAAAAAAATTGAGCTCATTCCAGCATCTAACACAGTGGTTCCCAACCCTTTTTTAAAATCACTTTAACCAAGGACCACTTCAACCAGGGACCACTCTCCAACATTAGTAATAAAAGGGTTACAAATCAGATTTTGGTCAACTTTATATTCGGTTTGGTTATTTGGGGTGCTGATTCAGAAAATTCCATTGGATAGACCACATCAGCTCTGGTTTCTGATACAGAACATATGCCATCCAGTAGTCACCATCTGCTTGCCCAAAGAAAACCATATTTAATAATCTAGAGCTGATGTGGTAGTAGTAATCTTTCATGGGTAGTCACCCTCTCCCCTCCCAACATTCCCATTGCCTCGGCACTATAAGAGGGTTTCGCAAGACGAGTCACTCTCGTTGCCACATGGTTTCAAGGCAATGGTGTAGTAATGGTGAGGTTGTGGACCATATTTTCGTTCTTGTGGACCACAGGTTGGGAACCACTGATATAACAGTTTGAATGAAATACTTCATACAACCCGTAAGATGTGTGGATTTTTCAGTTTACATCTGCAAGGGCAAAGAACCCTTGCCAATGTAGGAAAACACTAGTTTTTTTTTTTAACCTGTGAGAACACCTCCCTAGAAAATGTCTTTTACCACAGTAGTTCTATACTCAATCCCTGCTGGCAATTGACAATGACAACAACAAATTTATATCCTACTTTTTCTCTACCAAAGAAGACTCAAAGCAGCTAACACTAAAAATCACAACAATGTGTAAATTAAAACCTAAAATAAATAAACATTAAAATAGAACTAAATACAGAAGATTTTTTTTCCATGTCAGGAGCGACTTGAGAAACTGAAAGTCGCTTCTGGTGTGAGAGAATTGGCCATCAGCAAGGACATTGCCCAGGGGACGCCTGGATGTTTTGATGTTTTACCATCCTTATGGGAGGCTTCTCTCATGTCCCCGCATGGAGAGCTGGAGCTGACAGAGGGAGCTCATCCCACTCTCCCCGGATTTGAACCTGTGACTTGTCGGTCTTCTGTCCTGCCAGCACAAGGGTTTAACCCATTGCGCTACCGGGGGCTCCTAATACAGAAGATTAAAAATAGTATTGGAGGTTCTACAAATGACTAAAGAAATATTCTTCCTAGGAATCTCTAAGTCTTCCAGTGCAACTCGATGGAGGAAGTTTACCGCATTCTTGCTGGAAGACTAGAGATTATTAGAGAGGACTATATTAATCAAATCTGCAAGTAATAAATTCCGCAAAGTGAAACCGTAACTATGGACGGCCATTCTTTGCTGACTTAAATCTGAACTAAGAACATGAACACAGCCCAAATGGATAAAAACAAGAGCTCAGTTGCATTTAAACCAGCAGTTCCCAACCTTTAGTCCTCCAGTTGTTTTGGACATCAACTTCCAGAAATCCCTTACTAGCTGTTAGGAATCGTGGAAACTGAAGTCTAAAACACCTGGAGGACCAAAGGTTGGGAACCACTGACCTAAACAGCCTTGTCATATTTTGGATCATACCAAGGAACTCAGTTTCATCTAAGCAGCCCTGTATATTAAACCAAAAGTTCCATCTCCTCCAGAATCCCAAAGCAATATACCCAACCCCGACTACTAGATCAAAAACATCTTGCCAACATCTGCCTAAAACATTCATTTGGTTGCCTGATGAGGAACAAATGGCATCCTTCCAAAAGAAAAAAATCCAAAGGATCCCAAGGGTGGTGTACAAATATCAGTAGCAAAACAGTCACACAAAGAAAAAAAGGGGAAGGAAGGAAGCTCAGGTAGTTCTTGGGAAGATCAGCTGAGCTGGAGGCAGTTCAGGAAGCCTGAGGTCAATGGCTACTGGCAAAATGACAGGGAAAGTCAAAGGCAGCTGGCCTTTCAGCAAAAGTGATAGACTAGTCCTCCCCCTCCCCCTTACCTTTGCAATCTGATGGAATAGCTGCCAGAGTTATGATCATATAAGTCTGTCTTCTATTAAGCCAATTTAATTGTATTGTTTGCTTTCCATGTAGCATTGTATTGTTTACTCTCACTGCCAGGAGCTCTCCTAACATTTCAGACAGGGGCCTTTCCTGGCAGGGAGATGCTTTTAACAAGGCAAGCTAAAGAAGGAACCTGGAAACTCCTATTGGCAAAGCAACACTGTGTTGCACTGTAAATAAACACTTTCCCCCACCCTGAATCTATTGCCAATTTTATTCGTTATCTCCATGTCTGAAAACAAAGTCATAGAATCACAGAGTTGGAAGAGATGGAAAGGACTATTTAATCCAACACCCTGCCAGGAAGGAAAACACAATCAAAGCATTCCTGGCAGAGAGCAATCTAGCCTCTTTAAAAACATCCAAGGTAAGATGTTACACATCAAAGGGCTCTTGCCACTTTTGTGGTAAGAAAATAAAAGAAAAACCTTGTGCATCTGAAGGTCATATAGAGGGGCAGGGTTCACCATATTGCCTCCCCAGAATGAGCAAGTATGTAGGCATCCCCTTAAAAGGCCACTGAACTATTTTGTTTGTTTGTTTGTGTCAGGAGTGACTTGAGAAACTGCAAGTCACTTCTGGTGTGAGAGAATTGGCCATCTGCAAGGATGTTGTCCAGGGGACACCAGGATGTTTTGATGTTTTACCATCCTTGTGGGAGGCTTCTCTCATGTCCCCACATGGGGAGCCAGAGCTGACAGAGGGAGCTCACCTGTGCTTTTCCCGGATTCGAACTTGCAACCTGTCGATCTTCAGTCCTACCAGCACAAGGGTTTAACCCACTGCACCACCAAGGGCTCCCTATAACAGAACTATAATAACTACGGCATATTATTTAAAAAATGGCAATTATCTTGCAAATCTACTAATGCTCAAAAATCTCCCCCTAATGTTCTAATTCAAAAGTACTACTACAAAAGATATTATGTGATATCTAATAATTCATAAATGGCATGTTAACACCTGCTGAAGTTTCCAAAAGCAGCTCTAAGTAGAGTTATAGTAGTCCAAATGGCATGTAGCCCCATAGCCAGATCTGGTGCCTCAGAGAATGGATGCAGCTGACACCTAATATATGAACATGCAAAATTAGTCCTGCCCAAACCGAGAACCTGTGCCTTCAGGGGAAGTATAAATCCATTAAAAATATATTTGTATATTTTAAGTTGCATTGCAATGCTTTTAGTTGTGAACCGCTTTGAGTCTCCGTATGGTGAGAAGAAGCAGGATATAATTTATTTATTTATCATTTGTTTATTTATAGTATTTATATACTGCTTTTCTCACCCCTGGGGGACTCAAAACGATTTACACAGAAATAATGACAAAATTCAATGCCTTACATACGTAAATCAAATCACAAATCAACACCATATATCTATGCATAAAATCAATAAGACAATTCGCTATAAGATAGAAAAAAGGACATTTAAAACATGAACTATAAGAATTAAAACACCTAATAAAATCATTAAAATCACATGATCCAAGCTCATAGACGGGCCATTCCATTGTCAATTGCACATATTCCATATTTGCTTCTTGTACTGTGATAGTTTACTAATCAAAAGCTTGATTCCATAACCATGTCTTTTTTCTTTTTCTAAAGGCCAGGAAGGGGGGCACTGATCTATTCTCATTGGGGAGAGAGTTCCGGAGCCAAGGAGCCACCATTGAGAAGGCCCTGTCTCTCGTGCCCGTCAACTGCACTTGCAAAGCAGGCGGGACCAAGAGCAGGATCTCCCCAGAAGATCTTAACCTCCTTGAACATAATCAACATTATTATTATTAGTAGTAGTAGTAGTATTTAGCTGGCTGAATCCCTATTTCTACTTCTATCCCCATTTCTTGTGAAAAGGCTATGCCAGGTGCTTCAAGTGGATGGAAAATACGGACATACACTTCTAAAAATCTATGGCTAGTGATCACTTTTGGAAAAACAATTTAGATCAGAATATTCTTGTGCTCACTGTTTTTCAAAGACATGAGTATTCTTTTCCAGGAAGAGGTGTGGTTGTCATGAAGATGTAGTGAAGACAGGTATTAAAATACCCGAAACAAAAAGGATTCACCACCATGGAAGCAGACTAATAGCTTTAGCAAGCATGCTTTAATTTCAATTCTTTATGGATAATCTAACCGACAATATAGGCTCTTGAGTTCAAAAGAAATAGTACACATGCACACACCTGTGGAGTTTCAATCAAACCACAAGATCTCCGCAGCCGGCTGATCTCCCCTGAAGTTTGTACAATCAGCTGGCTGTAAGCAAAGGAATTTCTGACTTTGGTGGAGTCGAATCACACACATCTTACCTTGTTGGCAATATAAAAATGCTGGGGGTTTATTATGAGCTACGACAGCTGGCCCCACGCCAACTTTACTTGTACTTATGGGTAGCCTATAAACATTATACGGCATGTAAAGTTATTATGCTCTGCGTTTGTTAATACAAAGTGTGACAGTCTGATTCCTTGCTGATTTATTTCATTTTATTTATTGCTGTTATATCCTGCTTTCCCTCCAAATGATCCTAAAGCTGCTTATGTGGGTTCTCTTTCTCCCCACTGAATCCTCACAAAAACCCTGTGAGATACATCACAGGGTGCATGGTTGATCCAAGATTACCCAATGAGTCTCATTGCCCAGCACTCATACATTTCTGCAGGCCCTGCTTTCCTCCACCTGTCACCAAATTTGCTGCCAGAAGAACAAGGCACTTTATTTTGAGGTTGAAATTGGGCTTTGGGGAGCCTCCCT